AGAGAGAGAGAGAGAGAGAGAGAGAGAGAGAGAGAGAGAGAGAGAGAGAGAGAGAGAGAGATGGCGAGGGTAGTCGCTATAGCGTGGTGGATATGGGTTCTGCGTGGCGATTGAGGTTCACGCACTCCTGAGTATATTCTCATCCTCCTCTTTTCGCCGTCGTCCTTCTTGACCTGCTCGTGCCCCTCGTTCTGCTCTTCCTCCTCCCATTCCTCCTCATTCTACCCTTTTCCTCCTCATTCTACTCTGCCGGTCCTTGTTGTTTGTTGTCCTCCTCTTCTCTCTTCTTCCTCTTCTTCCTCTTCCTCCACTTGCTCCTCCCTTCTTCACCGTACTGTTTCTGTTAATCCTGCGATTAGTTTGTTCACATGTTGTTGAGAACCATTTTCTGACTGCACGTCGATACCAACCTCTGAAATAGGGAATAAATCTGTACCGGTAAACTAGGGAATGGATCTGGCGGGCGTGTTTGGCCTGTACTGTTTGCTTCTCGCTCTGTCTCCCCCCCCTGCTTTTTGTGTCTCTCGTATTTTTCTCTAGGTTTCTGTCTTCTGGATCCGGCTTCCCTGTCTAAGGACAGATACCTGGCTCTCGAGGCCTAGGTCGCTGGTTCGAGTCCGTGCTTGCACGGTGGAGGACGTCGGGCTCGTGCTGGGATGGGGGATGGGTAGCGCCGTCCTGTAACCTCAGCGTTGGGGAGCTACCTTCTTCCCCCGAATACAACGTACGGTCATTATAGCCGTATTTGGGGTATCTTTCAGTCTAAATGCAGCTATAATGACCGTACGTTGTATTCGGGGGAAGAAGGTAGATGTGCAGATCCATTTAGCTGCTAAGGATGAAGTGTTCATTACAAGAGTTGTTGGGTTTCGCAGTTGCTTGCGTTCTCTATATCTCCTGTCTATCATACCCCTCTCTCTCTCTCTCTTTTGTGCATTTGCTTTGTATGGTGTAGCACCTCGGCGTTGGTGTGTGATTGGACCTGCAAAGGCGGAGTGATCGGCAAAGCCGTGAAACTGGTTTCGTTAGGTGCAATTTTGAAGAAGACATGCGTTTCTGTAACTGTCCGGGTTTTGCGTGCCATTATTTTTAATTTTGATTTTGAAGTTTTTACTGTATTACTGTATTATTATTAAGCAGAGGAAGTATGTGTGGTGATGTAGGGTTGTCCTGCGTATCGCGCGTATCAGCTGCAGGTAGTCGCGACCTCTGATCAGGGAGCACCTCATCTATCGATCACGTTAGAGATTGACTCTCCGATCTTGCGGTTGACGTCTGTCTGTTCTTTTCCAAGCTTGTTGCTAATATCGTCCATTCTTTCTCCCTTAGTAGTGCCCGACGGGCTTGGTTATCTTCTCCCTAATTTCCTGCCTTTTCTGATTCGCACACTGTTGTTATGTTGGCTACTAGCCCGCTCGAGCCTGTTGTTGCTCAGTATACATACACTACTAGCACTCTATGTATCTCTACATAGATACATAGCACGGACTCTACCTTTAACTTCTTTCAAGGCGACTATAATAACCGCCTGAAGTTGTGTGAGGTAGCCGTAGGGGAACCTGCGGCTGGATTGACTCCTTTCCAATATACATACCCAGATTTGATTTAATGTCGATCTAATCAGACTAGTTACCAAAGGCGCGAAGCACAATTCCGAGTATCCGGGTAAGAGAGAGAGAGAGAGAGAGAGAGAGAGAGAGAGAGAGAGAGAGAGAGAGAGAGAGAGAGAGAGAGAGAGAAGGGAGGGCGGTGGGGGGAGGTGAGGCGTCTGATTGCTGAACGACTCTTTGATTCAGTTTTTGTTGATGGGACTCGGGCTGTCCGTGGCCGTTGTTTTTCTCTAGGGTAGCTGACGAGAGTGTTCTTTAGGGTCTGATTTTGAAGAGGACGTTGCCGACTCACCCATTCTATTGAGTGATTGCAGTGGTGATGGCGTATGCAGCGGCGGCGACGTTCTCTGTTTTGTTTGCGTCCATTTGGTGTTTTTTTTTGGGTCTCGCCGTCAACAAACTCTCAAGAAGCTCTCTTCGTCTCTCCCCTCTCTTTGCCCCCTCTCGCGGGCAAGAGGGGGCAAAAAGAGGGGAGAGACTACAACCTCCTTCCGGGTGTACGTGCAGATCTCTTCGTCTCTCCCCTCTCTTTGCCCCCTCTTGCCCGCGTCATTCTCTTTTATTTTTTGTGCAGCTCTCTCTTCCAATTGCCAGCCACCGCTGGGCCAGATCCCACTAGGAAAGAGGATAGGATTATGCTCCTGAATCTGGAGGTGTTTTGCAGAAAAAGCAGTTGAATCTCGATCCGCAAACGTCCAGATTCAGGCGTTCAATCCAATCCTCCTTGATAGTGGGACCTCCCCCCAGGGGAAGTGAGGGTGTGCAGGGATGCAGAAAAGCAGTTCAACCTCGATTTCCTGCACCTCTCCTCAAACACGTCCAGGTTCCGGCGTTCAATCCAATCCTCCTTGCTAGTGGGGCCTCCCCCCAGGGGAAGAGAGGGAAAGTGAGTGAGGGCAGGGCTTAATAGATGTAAAATATTTTAGTAGATTTTTCCCAGACTCAAGGATAAGCTGCTATAGGCCCTTCCCAAGTCTCTTTGTTCTGCTGCCAGTATAAGGGCGAGGTCCCACTAGCAAAGAGGATCGGATTGAATGCCTGAATGTGGACGTGTTCGTGGTGAGGTGCAGGAAATCGAGTTTGAACTTCTTTTTCCCCCTCTCGACGTAAAACACATCCAGATTCAGGAGCTTAATCCTTTCCTCTTTGCTACCATCTTCACCCGAATAGAACGCCCGGTCATTATTGCTGTATGTAGACTGAAAATTGCACCAAATACGGCTATAATGACGGGGCGTTCTATTCGGGTGAAGACGGTAGTGGGACCTCGGCCTAAGATGTTTAACGAGATCCCGAGCACGTGATACTCCCCCCCACTACCAACAGCAAAGAGCGTTGGATTGAATGGCTGAATGTGGACGGGCATTTGGGAACGGTGCAGGAAGTCGAGATTGAATTGCTTTTCTCTGCATCTCTGCCTAAAACACGACCAGATCCAGGAGGTTAATCCAATCCTGTTTGCTAGTGGGACCTGGCCCTCCGATTGGGGCCTTAAAACATGGCGAGTCCTTCATCATCAGGCAAAGGTGCAGGAAGGCGAGATTGAATTGCTTTTCTCTCCCGGTGTGCTGTTTTTGTTAAGAAAAGGAAAGGAAGGAAAATGGAAAGTCGTTTAAGAAAAGTATATTACAAAGAACGTGCCTGTTTCTGCTTACTGTAGCAGCTTGAGATGGAAATATCAGCATGAGTTGATGCTAACACAGCAGTGAGAGCGCAGCAGTGAGCGAACTCGGTGTGCGGGCAGACTCACAACAGGACTTTTTCGATTCAGCTCTGGCCCTAGTTTCGGTCAGAAACTTCTGTCAATTGCTGTAATTGAGACCAGATTCATCCAGGAAAGTGTTGGTGTGAGTACCCTCCCTCCTCTGAATCCAGCTCTCAGTGGTCCCCTCTCCATGGCCCACTCCACACGGTCTGCTCTCCTTCGCCTTCTCTCCTTTCCTCACTCTCATCCTACTCCCCTTGTGTTTTTTCTTTCAATCTTTTCGCATTTCTGAATTCATAGCAACTCTTTACTTTTTTATTGCAATTGATTATTGTTATGATTTTGGAGCCCAACCAGGTTTCAGTGCACATGGTGCTCGTGTGTTTCACTGCAAACCTAATTAGTGCAATCAGACTCGTTCTCAAACACACTTTTCATGCATGTAAACAGCAACGCAGCATACTGGCGACATGCGCCCACTCAAAACTCGGAGATATGGCTTTCAGATACGAGTTCACTCTCAAACTCTAACACTCGAACACACACACACACTCACTACTAACTACAGCTATGGCAGCTGTCGCTGCATCTACCTTATCGCTATGCTAACTCCCTCTCTCTAGCCCACTGCGTCCTCCGGGCTCATCTGCAGACCTCCTTGCACAAGTCGCTGTGGCAGTGCTTCTGCATGGCTCAGGCAGGAATGAATGAATGGCTGGGCGCTGCCTCTTCATTTATACTTCAGAAACTCGTTGGTCTGCCCTTTGCCATCGGCCCTTGGTGCTCACAGTCCCCCTGTGGTACTTGCTGGACCGGACTGGGACTGACTGGACCTTCCGCTGACTGACTGTGGACTGACCGCTATCCTACCGACGTTGTACTGCTGTTGCACTGCGGTTTAGTCCACCACTTGCCTTCCCACTTGACCACTTGCCCACTTGCCTACCTTCTAGAAGGTCTACAGCTAAGCTTTTGGAACTCACTAAGACTCCTACGCTATAGACCTACAGATTGAACCCCTGCTGCCTATGGACCTACGACAGGCCTACCAACTGCCTACGAATACACAGGTCACAGGTTCAATTCTCGGGGTCTACACAGATACTGTACATGGGTAGGGTGAGGTCTAGGGATCGAACCCTGGGTACTGCATCC